CATGTGCGAACATAGACGCACAACAAGAAGCAATCTTATTAACGCGAAGACTTTCGCATAACTTTTTTAACCTGAAAAATATGTTATTGCATTTAATATCACTTGTATCTATTGTATAAGTGGATCTCTACTATAAACTATGAATTCACTTCGTACAAGTTCCTTGGTTGTTGTACGGATGAGTTCAGACAACAAGCGATCTTCTAGTAGTTCCAAATCACATACGAGGATTTTTATACTGCATGGCCTTTTTGCCTTGTACGAAAAAGCATTTTTTGCCTATACTACACTTAAAGTAGATTGTGATCAGTAATTTGAACAACATAAAATGCTCTTTCTACGTGCATCTTACACGATACTCTTTTCTCATCAGTCTCATGTGTATAACATAATATAAACTAGTACTTTTCAACTTCCCTTTGTGTAGATTATGCTGTCTAGCGAAAACATCTGAAATACTTTGTCTATCAAATCAACTTTTAGACCAAAAATAGAACTTTATTTTCTTCGGTAAATATAGACAAATAACAGAAAAAGCTGGGAAAACACTTGTAAGATTTTATTTATTGATAAGTTGTGGTAGAACCAAACGGTGCATAGTGAGCAAGATTCTAGCTTGATTACGATTCTAAAATAACACATGCTTTTAGTATTTGACGCAGACTGGAAGATTTTATTATGGGAAAAAGAACGACAAAGACATTGTTTTGTACAAGAGAATAAACTATCTATCATTTCATGCAATTTTGTTAACCGTATCTAATTATAATAATACTTCAAGTCCGAACGAGTTATGACGAGGACTTTCATAAGTGCGGACCCATTTTGATACTTCACAAATGAAAACAAGATATTCTTACAGGCGAAAGGACGATATGGTTACCGGTTCTTCAGACGTTTTTCAACAAATGTAGTCGGCATGTCGATATTTCATTTTCTTTTATCTTTTCTGACATATCTGAGTTATTGTCTAAACAGACAGGTTATATACAATAATGTAAAACGTGAGTGACAGTGTGCATGCCTCGTGGTGTTGCATTTCGTGTATGATCTAAAAAATACAGTTAGATAAAGCATTTAAGAACCCATGCAGTTGATTTGGCTTACTCTCTTTGATTACATCGGAGATGACTGTTGTGTTATGGAGCACCTCAATATCTTTCTCTTATATATCAATTGTTAATGGATCATTTTTGCGTTTACTAGCAGGTAGGCGTTAATCTCCATGCCATATACACAGAGTAAAGGTGATGTGCAATTTTTCCAAATGCGATATTTTCCTAAGTTAATAATCGATTCTAAATGTTGGGAGATATACATTACATCACTGTAATATACTTAATGATGGTCTATCTTCTAACTTACGACATGGATGAATAATATTCTCAAGCGGATAATACGGATGCAACGGTTGCTCGTGTTTCAAATCTTCGTTTTTCATCCTTATCAAATCTAAGTTTGGTCTGAAAACGAGCACGAAATTGTTACTCTATTCTAACAAGTAGGTTCTATACTTACATTATTTCCCCTGTAAGAATATTTTGTTGATCAACTGGAAAGTATATGGGGTTACACGGTGGAACGTCCTCGTTGTTATTGTCTCCTAAAAATTTGCTAGGATGAATGAAATGCTGTTCATTATGGTATACGGTCGACAAAGTTGCTCGTAACAATAAACGAGTTTCACTCAAATAGTGATTAGGAAGCTAAATGGAATGAAAGATAATTCGCGAAACTAGGTAACATTAGCAAGTGTACTTGTACAATGATGTGCTTTGTTCCATTTCTATCCTGTAAGTAATTCGGAGGTCGCGGCTTCCCAAATTTGCGTCCACTTTGTGAAAACACGTCCGTCATGTATTGACGACGATAGGAGGCTACTACTCCGTCGTAATAACTCATATTCATAGCTTACGTGTTCCTATATTTGCTGATATGAGGTCCGAAGCAGAACCAAGGATGTAGAAACCCATAAAATTATATGCTCTTTCATTCTAGATACCTTTCGAGAAGATCTTAAATGGGGCCGATCCTCGTTCTTATTGCACCCCCTGTCCTTTGAAAAAAATTTTCTTTTTTCTTGCTTCGTCTTGACATCGAACATAACTCAAAAACGACTGAATGGAAATGGATAATTGGATTGGATATTTTGTTTGATACGTGATGAAGATGTTGCCTTTCTTTGGATGCAACTCTGTATGCGTCACGGTTATCAAGTTACACCTAGATTATATGCACTCTCAGCTATCTTTATTGTTTTCTGGTTTTCGCCTTCCATTCACGCAACGTTTTTTTAATACATTCATTCTACAAAATTATATGAGTAGCATTTAAAAAATACGCCTTGTGCATTGTAACCATATTAAAATGTTTTTCGTAACTATTCTGCATCGAATTGTACTAGAATATGAGCTTGATAAAAATTTATGTAAAATGATTCTCAACGTAGCCGATCAGTTTTGTTATTCTCTCCTATATAAATTTTTTCTCTCTTTTCTCTTTGCTCTTAACTTCAATTTAACAAACGTCATGCACATAATTCTATCTTTGATGTAGTACAGGCATTACTTAAATATTTGTTTATAGGTAATTACCTATATATACCTACCACACATTTGTATCATATATATATCATACAAATATGTGAGCATCTGTAACAAATATATAATTAACGCTTGTACTGCATCAAGCATAGAATTATGTGCATGACGCTTGTTAAATTGAAGTTAAGAGCAAAGAGAAAAGAGAGAAAAGAATGTATATGTGAGAAGATAACAAAACAGATCGTCTGTGCTGAGAAAATCTTTTTAAAGAGAAAACAGACCAAATTAAATAAAGTAGGGAATAATTATTATCAGAATAGAAAAATTTCTGAGTATTCGTGCAGCTCTGCAGCTATTTTTCACCAAAAACAAAGCGATATTTCATAGGTAGATTGAACTGAGCCTTACCTATTAGAGATCGGTGTAAAAATTATCTTAAATTCATTAGTGTTAATTAGTACTAATCAATTTCCAGAGCAGGTATCGACTGATCATAATTCCCCCATTTGTGATAATTGTGATCAGTACAGTCAAAATGGCTGGATTGAACTTAAACAAGTTCGTTTCAACGGAGAATTTTATGCGAACAAATTAAAAATTAATTCATTCTGTAGAGAATTCTTAGCTTAATTTCTCATGTGAATTGTACATCATTTGGACTTGACCTGAATTACTTAATGAGAAATTGCGAAAATTAAAATAGATAGTCATTTTCTCCATATATATATGCTTTGGGATAATTATGATCATTGCGTGAAAATTACATGGAATAAACAGAATTTGACGTGCGCCGTACAGAAGGTTTTGGTCTATTAGAACGCGAATTTGATAATTCACATGAAGGTTCAACTTGTTCGTTATCCGAGTGCCAACTAAGATTCTAACTTAATTATTTAACAAAAAGACAGGTTCCAAGAGACGAGAGATTTCGGTGGAAAGGCTTGCTCTTTCGACTAGTTGTTTGCAGCTCAAAGGAAAACGGGCTCGAAGGTAAAACACATACTCAAGTGCCAATTATTGTAGTTCAGTTACAGGATCACCAACTGGTATGACATACTCATTCTTTCATTTGTTGCAAGCTCTCTTTTGTCTCCGACATAAAAGCAAAGATGATTGCTTGGAAACAACTTGGGAACAGCCTCTTCATCATCGTACTTATCGTACTGGGCACCGTTTTTCTTATTGCCCAATATGTGTCTCAATCATCTTTGTCATTGCCATCACCGCGCATCACCTATAGCAACGCCTCAACTCTTATGTCGCTCGTGCAGCTGGACAAAAAATATCGCACCAGCAAAGGTCTTGTTCATCATTATACGCGTTTTTATGAACGCTATTTTAGCAAGTACCGTGGTACTAATGTTAAACTGCTCGAAATCGGTCTCGGTTGTGGTATGTCACGGGGGGGTAGGCGTGTCAGCGGCCATGTGCCGAGAATATTTTGGTCCAAAGGCTGCTATTCATTTTCTTGAATATGACAAAACGTGCGGCGAAAAGTGGATGCGCGAACGTGGACAAAAGGTAAGTCCAACAGTGGACAGAACTAAACACTTCTCAGAATTCTATTGTGTGATTTTAACACGACTATTTGTAGTTAAATGTGACGATGCATTATGGCTCGCAAGATGATGTACCATTTTTAAAAGCATTCGCTGGTAAACATACTAAAATGTTTGATGTAATTATTGATGATGGTGGCCATCGAATGACACACCAAATCAACAGTCTCACTGTACTCTTTCCTACCAGTGTTCGATCAGGTGGAGTTTATGCCATTGAAGATATTTATACAAGTTACAGACCTGAGTTTGGTGGGCAATATTTGAATTCGGCGACACTGATCGAATTTCTGAAACGTCTTCTCGACGATATACAATCCAGTTCACCTACGCACAAGAAAAGCAGGCTTGGACCTTTCATCCATACGTTTGAAATTAGTAACAAAATATGTTTTTTGAGAAAAAAATGATGTGCGCCGCTATGATTATGCAACTTTATAAGCTCGTCTGTCTCCAGTCATAAGTATCAGAGGTGGACGATGGACGAGGATTCTCATGAAAGCCCACGATTCTTGACGGAGCAGATGCCGCGAGGAAGGCTTTTTGAGCGTTTGACGAGGCGCGGGTCGATGACAAAGCAAGAGCTACACGACGAACCCTGCGAAGCACATTTTTCTTGTGAGCGATAAATGTTATGTTTATTTTGATCTATTTTTATAATAAAGGTGATGGTTATTCTTCAGAACCAAGATGAAATAATAAATAGCTTATGTTAGTAGAGATTTTCCGGACTCGGGAGGGTCAACGAGGAAACGCCAGAGGAAAATTTTATCAAGAGTTGATGGTGTACCTCCACTGTTTGATCTTAATAAAAAAAATTGTTTAGACGTTTTCCCTCAATGTTCAATTTTAAATAAAATATCGATAGAAAAAAATGAGGTTGAACGAAAACATTTATTCATGCAAATAAGAAGTTTCGAGAAGGTATAGTTCGAATTCGAATATACAGACGTTCTTTTCCATTATGTGACAAAAATAGTTCAACGTTTTTCTTCAGTATATTTGCATATTCAATTTTCTTTTCATTCTAATATTGAAAGAAAATTGAATATTTTTACTAGTGAAATCCGTCATCAGGATGCATTCCAGAAGAGAAAACTCACCGACACGAATTTTGATGGCATCTCTGATATATTATGAACTTTATTAAAATCTCGATTATGCTAACAACGTTAATCAACGGTTGAAGTTTTCTATTCTTCTGTTCGTTTGTCAACGCATTTATTTTATGTACAAACAACATAGAGCTTGATGTGTTCTTTATAACTCTGCTTAAGTTGACAATGTAAGATGAAGTAGAGCACGTATTGGACCTTCATAATTATTTATGGTGAGAGATAAAGTACAACAGAAATATTGTCCACATCTCCGTCGTTTGAGCTACCGCCGACTCCGCCGTAATTCACTATGACAACCTGAATCAAAATTAATCGCGTAGAAACCATTATTCTACCTACTGTTGATCGATAAATTAATTGCGTTGTATGCCCCCGATCAGTATCTAGCACTGGACCTATTTGATTACTAGTACCCAATACAGATAAAGATGACGATAGGAATTGAAACGATACATAAGCTGAATCATCTTGTCCTGCCCAACCACCTAACCATGCGGATAAATTGTATGTGACATTATGATTATCAATATCATTAGCATAAGCTGTTAAATTAATTCTTTGTGACATGCTTGTCACATCTGATATTTGCCCATAAAAATAACAACATCCACGATCTCTAGAATGAAAAAATGGAAAAAATACCTCACTCATTCGCGACTATACGTGCGTTTTTCCTTTCTAGAAACTGTTAAAACTTCTTTCATATTCTAATTCATACGGGTTGTACTATCCACTGGAAAAAATAATTAACCTTCTAGAAAATGTAAACCCCCCCTGCCCCCCATAATAGAAGACCATCCCCTATTAGAAGACCACTGCCGATTATATGACTTGAA